AGTGCAATAAAACAGGCTCCGGGAAACTGATCGTTTCAGAACAGGTGACAAATACCCAGGTTACTTTTGAGATCCAAAATAGGGCAGACCTTACTTGAAAATCACTATTGCTTCTAGACAGTCCCTTTTCAGTTTTCCTTCTCCATGGCAACGGCTTCGGAAGGCCTCGGAGAGACTGGTGGTTAAATGAGATTTGATGAAGTACAGTGGAATATCCCTTCAGTGAGAGCAGAAAGGGAGTCCAAAAAATAATTTTTAGTTCCATTATTTGCTGGACTCTCTTTATCTGCTCTTACAATTTGTCCTCCTCTTCTGGCCTGACTTTTGTGTCTGTATGGTTAGCTCTCCTGGGTGCTGGACTCTCTCTGTTTATCTGCTCTTACGAATTGTCCTCCTCTTCTGGCCTGACTTTTGTGCGGTTTCTCGCCTGGGTGTTTTGAGGGAGAGCGAGAGAGTGAGAGAGTGAATGGTTCCTCTTCTTTCTTGAGCCCGGAGAGGGATAAGAGACTTTGCGACTATCTCAGGGAGACTTCTCCCAGGTTCAGAATAGTCGTATGGAAAAACAAATAGAATAGTCGTATGGAAAAACAAATGTGGTGTTCTGGACTCTCTTCTGTCAGATTGTCCTCTTCTTGCCTCGCTTTCGTCTGCATATGGTTTCCCTCCTGGCTTTTTGACTGATGATGGTGAGTGCATTCTGTATATGAGTCAGATGGGCTGTTTAGACTTCGGGTGCATTTTACTTCACTTTGGTGATTCCTTGGTTGTGTATTGCCTATGCGTTGATAGTACTTGATATGTATGCATTGCTAGCCATGTTTTGGTCGGAACTTTCGGTTTGTGGTGGGTTACTGACAAGAGTTGTTGGCACGTGCGATTTTGTGGATGTGGTTTGTGTGCAGGGTAAGGCGAACCCTGTGGAACCCAATCCTCCAAAGGCCAGTGACATCTCCACGATCATGTACACAAGCGGGACCACAGGGGAGCCAAAGGTTAGTAGTTCTAACTAAACACATCTCGATGAGCAAGTATGAAAATGGAGTATGCTGTGCATTGTGGTGCTTTTCGTGCAACAGCTCTGGATTGCGGGCCGAGTGAGGAGGTATGGAGGTGAAATTGAAATGTATTCAGGACCTTGCTTGTAACAGAGCCATACCTTGGAGGGAGGGAGGGGGAGGGAGAGAGAGAGGGGGGGAGAGAGAGAGAGGGGGGGGAGAGAGAGAG